ATGATTGTTGGGCTTTTCTCTGTATCTATGAAGCGCCTTGAGGCGACATTTGTTGTGATTTGGCGCTATATAAATAAAATTGAATTGAATTGAATTGAATCCTCAATGCTATAGCTCGTGAAGCACTCCATTGTCTATACCAGGATCCCGTGCCAGTGCTGAGATAGTGAGGCCTGCAGCTGTGTCAGTGTAGCAGAACTCCTCTTTTCCCCAGTAGTATTCCACAACTACTGAGTTTCTATTAGACACATAAATGCTCTATTCCATAAGTAAAGCATTCATGTTTCTGGGCCTTTGTGAAAGATAAGGACAGCACAGAGGGCTCCAGGAGTGTTTGGGTCAGGACAACACCCAATTAATAATATCAACAAACAAGCAGGCCAAGCCTAACCAGCTAGCTGTAACTTATTTATGATGCCTGAATCTAGCCACGGTCAATCTGCAATGATGCTGGGAAAGGGTGAACTAGGGGTGATTAGTATGTACTAATGTCTACAATACTACACTTGTGTATATTAGCATGAACTGATGCAGCTGGAGCATTATAATGCAAGGGTATTGACAGATAAAGTTGTTGTAATATGACCCAACCATACTGGATTTTGGTGACTGTACATCATGTATAGTCAATGTAGTGTCGCAAACATGTTAGGTGTTAGGTTATTATCTGAACTAGTGACATTGTAATGCAGTCATAAACAATTGTGACATGACATACTTTTATGATGTTACCAAGACCCCAAAAATGAGACACTGAACTCAACATGCCATTTACTCTAGTCCCCTTGCTAAGATAGGTGACGAGCAGACAGACAAAGGTTCCTTGGTGTATGGGATGTCAGGGCTGCTTACATAGAAGCATGTAAGTAATGCTCAGTGTGTTACTCCATCCTGCCAAACATGAACAGCTGTAGGATATAAGTTGAAAGGAGCTGGCAGAGGGTAGAGTGGCTGTCATCGCTGACACATCAGCCTTAAGACATCAGACATCAACTGGAAAGCAGAAACCTAAATTAGCAAAGGGTATAGAGCAAGACTAGACCACTGTCCTGATTCCACAGTTAGCCTGTGTCACTGCATTCCCATTTTTATCCACCCTGTTTGTAGAAAGGTCTACAGAATGTATTTTTTAGTGCAGTTTTCATCCTCTTGAGGACATCTAAAGGTGTGTGACTAGTCTAGATATGCTATGTATCCCTTGGTGCAGTTTGGGAGAAGGGTGCTCTGAGATTGTGCATTATCAGGGTTGTTGTTGTAGGCAATTTGGTCCCTATATATTCATATCAAGAGCATAATCTAAATTTCTGGCAATAAACCACACACGTTCCTAACCGGCACCATACTATGCCAGAGCTTGCTCTTTGTCACAGTTCTATTAATAACAGATTACCTATGCAAAGCAAGTGGAAGATTTCTGGTTTGGTGGCCTATTGGTCTCATCTTTGCTTTTTGCAGATGACGGGTCCCTGCTGGCTTTGTTTAGCACTGACCTCCATCTGAAACTGCGACTGGGGCTGTTTGTACCTAGGTGCAAAGCAGCAGGGACAAGCATTAGCACCTCCATGTGTGAGGCCACGGTGCTCAGCAGGGGAAAAAAATGAAATGGCCTCTTTGAGGAGACTCCTTTCTCTGCTGATAAGCACTAGAGGAGGTTTGGCATAGAATAAGTAGTAAAAAATTGGAAGGATTCTACCACCTGACAAAAAATTAGGCGTTTTTAAGAACTGGCTATGTATAACATCACTGACTCATGGTGATCTATGAGTATCTGAGCTACCCTTTCAACATTTTCAAAGAAGCATGGACGGCAGTGGGTCCGTTTCATTTGTTGTTCCAGTAAGTCAGCCTAGTGAGCTACAATATCAGCAGATATTATAGCATATAGGTTAAATAAAGATAAGGATATTACACAGAATAAAGAACTAATCTCATTAGCTTTTCATGCTAATTTAGTCAAAATATAAGTAAATACAACTGAATAACTGTTTTTATGTCGCTATACCCATGGAAGATATTTCTACTGTTACATTTTAGCAAATATTTATATTATTTTGTTTTTAAAAGAAGAAGCAACTAAAGGGGGAAAAAACTGTGTTAAATTAGCCATGTGGCTGCTGCTGTTGCATCAAAGTGCTGCTCCATGTGCAGACAAAAGATGGCGCCTCAACAATATAACAAAACAAACAAACCTCTGCAGCATCCCAAACAGCTGTGTGTCTCTTCTTTTGTAAAGTCAAACACTTCATGGCAGGTCATTCACCTACCACTTTATGATATAAAAATCTTTTTTTTAATTTTAAATTTTAACAACAAAAGCCCCACATTATTTCACTGTCTCTAACTATTCCCAAATGTATTTTATTTTTGCCTTATTGAGCTTTAACAATCTAATAAAAGACTGTAATTCAATAACTTTGGTGTAAACAAAATTTTGTCAAAAGTGTGTCACGATGAAATGTTCGCCGAAGAAATCGGACAGTTCCCTGTTCCGCCTCCAAAACCTTTCCTCTCGTCGGATTGGAAGGACGTCCTATCAGTCAAACCGCCGGGTTCCGAATGTGCCCTTCGAAGCTTCTGAAAAAATACGGATTTTTAACTATCAATTATTCAAACGCCACAATAAGAACACCAAGGTATTAAACAAGTACGAAACAAACGTGACAAGCTTCACAAATTAGACCAGCGTTTAGTCAGTGTTTTTTTTTTCTTTGAAAAATAACCAACGGTCATCTACCACTCCAGAAACAACAATAAATGAATTTGCAAACACATTCATCACCGTAACTTTTTATGTCTTACGTCCTGCGAGTGTAGCACTAAACAGAAGATATTTAGAATGTCACGGAGTTTCTTTCTTTCTTTTTCCCCCGTTCTACCATACAAATGATCCATGTAGACTTCTTTCCCCTAGTTGATCTCTGCCGACAATATCCGACGGCTCGTGAAGGCATCAGCCGTTTCATTGTGGCCCTGCAGAGCCAACGCCATCACACTGAGCAGCTACGGCGAGCAGGACGGCGACAGCAGGGCCACCATAGCAGTGCAGTCTTTTATTACTGTCACATTATTTTATTATAACGACCATGGAATATAGCGCTGCGGACTATTAGACGTCTCTGAACTGGTAAGTGACACCGTTTTTTCGTTTCGCCCATCATTCTCGCTCTTGCTTCCCAAACCGATTGAATTACTTTGATTTTTTTTGCTTTTCCCCAGGTGATATTATTATTGACGTTTTTGAACGTAAACGTGCTTAGCCCGTTCGCTAGCTCCACCGCTCAGTTTGTATGGAAAGGCTGAGGCTGTTTGAATGTGATAACCGGTTTATATATGGTAGAATAAATATACACACATCCAGTATGTACAAGTGGGATGAAGAAACAGCACCCGAAGCTAATTAAACAAGTAGGTTATCCACAGTCACCGATGGAAACCGAGCCTCTGACATGCAGGGGGCTTCAAAGCATCTTGACGCATTCGTTTTTGATCCACTCCAGCTCGCTTGTTTACCATTCCCCCCTCCCCTTTTTCTCCCATCCTCAGCAGCAGCAGCCTCTCCTCTCCATTGATGCTCAGTGAAGTCAGATGAAGGACATAACCTCACATGATTCAGTGGCTCTGTTTTCTGCCATGCTTTTCCTGTGTGTGCTTCAGGGAGAAGCCTGGCTGCTCTGTTTACTTTGAGGAGCGGGCTGCATTCGTGCACGCAGTGCCATGCAGCTGTTCGAGTGTATTCGCTTCTTGTTAATGCCGATCCAAGCAATCTCTGTCTCTTTCAGCTGTTGGTTGGAAAGTCTTTTTTTCCTACTTTCCATCGGTGACTACTTTCACTGTACCTGTGGATTTTTATGCTCTGTGCCGATGATGTTGTTTGCATTTCAGGCTGATTTCTCCCTCCTTTACTTCAGTAATTGGGGTTAAACACTCATCACCTCTATTTCCGTTTAAAACAATGATGGGCATCCCTCCATCGATTGACTTCAGACCATAAAACTGCATACCTCTGAATGTGTTTTGATAGAAAAATGGGTGCAGTATATATATATGTGTCATTAGCAATCCTTAATGAATGACCCTCTATTTGCAGAGTTGTAATCAATGTGTTTTTGGTGGCACTTAAAGGGAAAGTGCAGAAACTAGAGGGCCTTGTAATGCGTGATTTTATTTCGTTTTTTTAGAAGTACTATTATGGCCTGTTTGCAGAAAGGCAGCTTCCTCTGGTTTTGAGCATGCCAGCAGCTGGTGTGCAGCTCCTCCGCCTGCAGTGAGTGCAAGATTTCTGCAGTAGGAGGAAGAAGCTGGGATGTGGTCTGCTGAGTTTAGGTTCTGCAGGTGCACTGTGTAAAGGCACAGTATATGCATCTGAGGACGGATGTATCTCTAGGATGATATCAGATATCTGCTCACAGCTAATAGTCTTGGAAACAGAGCGTTGGAACCAGAGTGCTTTCAGGTTTTTTTCTGCTGATCTAAAGCATTACTGTAAATCAGCATAAATATTAGTTTTACCAATTTTAAATAAAAAATTTGTTTAACATGCCAGTCTTTGCAATAAAGTTCTAGATTGCACATGTCACCGTCCGACTCGTTGCTGAGTTCAGGGCTGCTTTTTTTAATACTCTGTCTTAACCGAATCAGATGAGACATGCACGGCGTCCCTGATGGAAGTCACTCATGTTTAGTGAGGCAGCTTTAAACAGCTTGTTTTGCCAGGAGATCTGATCAGGCAGGTTATCACACAGAGGTGATCAGGTCAGGAAAACAGGAGAAGATGAGTGTTTGCAGTGAATTTTGCCAGTAATAAACTGTGGATAACTGCAGTCATAGACTAGTGCTTTCACCTCAAGCTTCCAAAGATTGAAGATTAAATCCAAACTAGTGCAGAATTTCATACAGAAGTCGATTCTGTCTGCAGCGAACAGGGATGTGCGCAAAAGGAGACACACCCACATTTTGTTAAATGAAAAAAAGGGTAAAGCCCTGTTGTTGTCTTTGCACTGTATTTGGCTGCTTCTTTGGCAATTCAAGCAATTCATATTGTTTGTCCCATCAGCCTACATTAAATAATCTATAATATCAGTATGTTTTAATATCAGCTGTGTGCAGTACAGTACACAGTGAAAGAAGACAGCATTTCTCCAAGACCATGATGCTACATGTAACATACAGTCAGTACGGGACTACATAAAGCACAAAGTGTGCAAAAATTGCCAAAAAACATGCAACAATGACAGTGGGTTGTGCAAAAAGACTGAGCAACTCTCCAAACTATGTCTGAAAAATGCAGTTTATTAAACAGTTGCTTATGCATGCACCAAATTTCTGTCCAGCAAACTTCTCAGAGGCTGTTTGGGTAAAAACCTGGCTCAGTGAAGCCACACACACTTAGGGGTGCAACATGGCCCAATAGTGTTGATGTTTCTGTATTTATGTTGTGGTGATAATGCTGCATGATTGTGATCAGATGACAGTGTCTTGAAAAGCTGGTGGAGTTTTTATCAGAAGTTTAATGTTTGATGAACGTGCTGCAAGTGACTATTTGTCTCTTTAATGGTTGTCACTAACCTACAGTAATGCACAGAATGGTCACAGTCTGACATCTTCCAGTCAACAATTCATAGAAAATTTCATGATAATCTAGAAGTTTTTCAATTTTAGGAAATATTTTGGACACTGATTTTGTGTGCTTACAGAAACTGAGTGAAAATACAGGCTTTGATTTTTGCAGCTCTTCATTGTAAAGTTTGCACTGAACTACAGCTGAACTGAAAGCCTGAGAGACGCAAGAAGCATTCACTGCTGTAGCAGTCTCTAGCCTAACCCTAATGTACACATTATACTCTCTCCATCTGCAAGTGTGCTGGGATCCGCGTGACGTAAATTTCATCAACAGACAGTAAATGTGACCGCTCGGAAGTGGAATTCCGTGGGGAACTTAGATTACAATGCAGCCCAGGGTGGGGCTGAGTAAAGAAGTATAACAAGAATGACTACCCGGCCATGGGGTCTCCAGCTGTCTGTATTCACAGCAGAGTATAATGTAGGCTTGGCCTTTTTGGCATAAATATGATTGAAATTCCTAATGAACTACATTATAGCATTTAAGAATATCTGTTCTGAAGGAAACAACGTACTGTAGGACCCGCGTACTGTAGGGACTCCTATATACACAGCTGATCCCAGTTGGTAATTTTAAGCTCTTGATTTAACTTAATTGCTGGAGGGTTAATTAACTGTGAGACAGCTCGAGAGCCTAATTGGACTGCTCCTGTGGTGATCTGAATCAAACACACCTATGAATTTAAGATCTCATTTCACACTTGAAGCATATCCACAGACACACCAGGAGACAAAACACAAATATTTATTGATCAGTTTTGTCCATTTTCTTCAGGGTCTAAAAAGTGAAGCCAAAGTAAAAGTTCTTAAACCCATATTTTTTACAACATGTGGGGGGAGACTCCTTTCTGTTCCAATTGTGTGGAGTTCAGTAGACTTAAGTAAACACTTTCTCAAAGATTTAATGGGCTAAGTCACTGTTTTCATATCATACTGTATAAAAGATGACGTTTATTTTATGCGTTATGATAGTTATCAGAGTTAGAAAGGGGATTATCCTAGCATTGGTCTTGGAATAAGGACTAGATTGGTATGAGGCTGGTCAGTCAGAACTGGCCTCTGCTCATTATATCTAAGGACAGCAGAATCACTGAATCATGATACCATAGTAATTCTGGTGAATGTATCATGAGAGTATTGTATGGTAAGTTGCTCTGTCATTGCAGATGAAGCTGATAGTATGAAATTAGCCTGGGATTTGACCCACATAGGACCAGATGCGCTCTCATTGTGCTTAGCGTTCCTGTTTGAGGAGGGTGTTCGGGTGTTGTCATTCCCTCTTATCCTTTTGGTTCCTGTCTGTGTACAGTGTATTTGGCTAGATCCATTTTGAGTAGATTTGGGGAGCTGACAGCATCAAGGCTAATGCTAATCCTCATCTTTGTGCAATCTTATGTAATCTTTAATCTCTTACTGCACAATTATACACTTTTCTGACAGAAAATAGACATTCTGGAAGACTTTTACCCTTAGTAGCTAGATTCTGCAGGATGGACCTGCAGATAATATTTATTTAGTAAAAAAGAAAAAAAGTTGCTTCTTCAATGAGTGTATTTCATCCCACAGATGGACTTAAAGTTCAGCTGGCAGTGCTAATACTTGTTCTGGTGAGTTCAGTCAAGTGACACATGAACCAGTTTTCCACCTGCTGGAGATTCTGGTTATAGTGATCCTCCAGGCCCACTTCCACTGCTGCTGTTCAAGACGGTAGAGTTTTGAATTTGGGATGCAACAATCCAATTTATTTATGGATGAAACAAGATTAGGATAAATATTTTTTTAACATGTTGACAGAGGAGAAACTCTCGTGGTAGGACAGCTAAATGCTTCCATACTTAAGGGAATATTTTGCCCTCCATTAACAGATGTAGCAGCACAACTGAGTGGTGTCTGTGTGTAGAAAAACCAATGCAGGGCTTCGTGTCATCACATGGAGGTCAGATTGTTCAGGCTCACACAATCTTAGACAGCCGTTCATCTGTGCTCAACCTCACACCAATGAAATGTGCCTCTTTTCTCTTAGTTTCTTATTTATTTCTTTGCTCTGGTGGTTGGGTTGTGACGTGCTTGCAGGCTGAAATTATTGTCACGCATGAGTAAATGTTGATCCGTGTATGAATGCAGGCTCTGACTGAGCCAGTGGGGACATACGGTGACACGTGGGAGCTGAGCTGTAGATCACACGATGGCCTCTGAATGCCTTCGCTCCCTCTAGGATGTCCCCCATGATCCATCACAACAGCTACATTTCTCTCTCAGCTAATTAAAAACAGAGGCTATTCTGCTTTTGTTGTCTCCCCAATCCATCAGCTTCATTAATGAATTAGGCATGTTTATGAGCCAAACGTATTGCCACTGGGTCATCGTCGTAGCCATGTCAAGGGAGGAAACGATGTGTGAAAGTGATACACTGGCATGAAAAAGCTTGTCAAAACAGGCCCCGTGGAGATGTCCATCTTTGAGGTGTTTCTTCAAAGGAATTCAATTAGTGGGAGTTATTTGTCT